AAGTGGGAGAACTTGCACAATTGGTGGCTGACTAAATACTTTTTTGCCCCACTGTATTTCCTGAGATGAATTCTATGCACCAGTACTTTTCAAGTCAACTTCATAGCACTTTCTCTTCTGAATATGTGGAGCAACAAGCAGCAGTGGCTCCATAAATTTTTGTATGAGGAGGAATAGATGGGACACAGTGAATTTTAGGCTGGACAAGAATGCATCCTAAACCCTAAAATAAATATTTCTGATTGAAATGAAGTTAGATAGCACACTAGTTTGTTCTTTATGCTGAAACACATACACACACACACATTTACCAGCCAAATTACAAATTATGAGAAAAACAGCTCTCAAAATTTGTTTCCAAATAAAAATGTAAATATCTTATGCTCAGGTTAGGCAGAACAACACATGGTAACAGGTTTCTTTCAAAAATTCATCTGCCTACTTTTCACCTAGTACAGACACATTCAGGAATACATTTGGAGCTAGTTAGAGGAAGCAGAACAAACTCTCACCAGTACCCCTCACCAGTGAACCAAAACACGGTTGCTGTCTACCCAATATCTGATTGATCAAGCTAGTTGATCAGTTTGATTCAATGGGAAGTCAGTGAAAGGAGGAGAACAGAAGTAAAATACATATGTCAATATTGTTGGGTTGAATCTTCCAGTTCTTACGCAATTCTACAAAGCAGCTAAATGCTGTCAAGATCTATGGTTTTGGAAAGTCTCATTTCTGTTGCTGGTATTATGGCAATGTTACATCATCCATGTCGTTCTTTAAATATTTCTGTTTAAATGTGTTGATTCTTAGTCTGCATTTGATATTAAAGTGGTGGTTATAGCACATAAGATTTCACTGAAAAACATGTTTCGAACTTCCATTAAATTAAGTGCTTGATTTATTGTGTAAAATTTAACTTTTCTCTCTCTATAACTTTTGGAAATAGTAGATATTAATAGTCCCAGTTCTGTTTATTGCAGTATCCTATTTGAACTGAATGCACTGACTCCATTTAAAGCAATTAGATTAAAATTTTATTACTATTTTATGTTTTGGGATTTTTTTGTATTGCATTTTGTATATTGCCCAGGCTATGCATGTATTGGGAATGGCTCATAGATATTGTTAAATAAATAAATAAAATATGGGAGTTTTGTGTCATTAAAGTTCACTGATGATACTAAGAGAAAGAAACTTCTCTGCCTTAAATCCTGGTCAGCTGTTGGAAGCATACTTCTTGCTCTGTTGAATTCAGTAATAACATAGCTTTGTAATTTTGGGGACATGTAATGGATTCTCTTTTCTTTAGTTTGCATTTTGATGAAATTTTCTTCTGCAATAATCTTTATATCAATCATAATTTTGTTTAAATTTTCCTCAAGATCCTTCAGATCTTGCAGTTTATTGAAGAATTAACAATGCAAGTTTAAGCCACACCACAATCACTTTGCAGGTAACCTGATAGCCCTTTTAAGTTCAATGAGCATTTAATAAAAAGATTAAGATCAGAAAAAACACAAAGTAAAAGTATCTGAATTAGAATGCCTTTACACTTTTCGTAGAATGTGATTCATTGCTTATTATATTCAGAAGCAATAAAACCATTAAAAGTGTTGATTAATAGGCTATTTTGATGCAAACTGATATATCCAGTATGCAACTGACTATTTCTTGAATTCAGTAATTTTGGTCCCAATTTATTTTTGTAATTCAGTGAAATGTAAATATGCAGAGGAACTTGAAAAGATTAAAAAGCTGCTGAAGAATAGTAGAAATTTGCAAAATCATCTGTATTTTTATAGACATCAAAAAATTTTAAGTTCAACCTACGGTTATAACAAAGATAGTGTTTTGTCTCTTTCAGAACCTGCATACTACAGCTCCATTCATTACATTGGCATCATCATAGTTCTTTATCTCTAAACCAAAGGCCAAGATGATCTTTATAAAACCCATTAGAAAAGTAGCATCCAGTGAATAACATGGATGAAAATCAACAAATCATGCAAATATATTGCCTCTCTAGCAATTGTTCCTGTTTATCTATATTTTTGTTTCATGAGCAATTTGACTTCTTGGAAAATTGACTCCAGAATTATTCTACTTGTGATACTTGACAATACATCTTGAACTGAATATGTATGTTTGCATTTTGTGGTAAATTGTTTTTGACTGAATTCTGGGGTCTTGGTTTGCAAGTAGTGGCAAGAGTACAAGAAATTTCCTCTGTTTCCTCTGGAAACTCATCAGTTTCCCAGTGTCTAGGCTGAGCAATTTTTTTTCTCTTGGAGTAGCCTCATTTTCAATTTCTTTTCTAGTTGCAGAAGCCCTTGTGAATAACTATATGCTCAACACAATTGGCATCCTTTCTGGTAAAATGGAAACAAAGAAAATCCTGCATTTTCCCAATGCACTTTATTGTAACCAGGGTAGGTAATTTCTCTCTCAAACTGGACTCAAATATTGCCATGATTTTAATGGCAGGAAATAGCTTAGGACTGGCCTTTCTGTGCTATGTTGCTTAGCCAGATACTTTATTTATATTAGCAGGTGTTGCCCATTTCCTCATCCTATTCATCCTCATAAATGTCAGACTTGCTAGTTCTCCTGAATTTGTTCTTCCAACAAATGCTTGTTTCATCAGATCTTTCTGAGGAAGCTTCCTGGACTTCTGTGAAATTTATTTGAGGGTTGTTGGTTGTTTTTTGCTGCATTTATGAGATACTGATCTAAAGGCTATATAAATTAGAGAAATGGATGGAGGGATGGATTGATGGATGAATAGATTTCCTGAGAATGGGTGCTTTTGATCTGACAGCAAATTGGTTGACTGTTTGGGCCTTCCTACTTTGTCTAGGATTGTCCAACAGGGTTGAGAGTTGGGCAGTCATGCCCTGCACACAGGAGAGCCATCCCTGTGTCATTCCCTCCAATTGCAAGGGACAGACTTGGCAGGGCCATCAGCCTCCTGGCCCAGGACCTTAAAGGAGCAATGACTTAAAGCAGCGATGCTAGAGATCTCCGATCCATTCACCAAGACGAGCCCTTTAGAAAGGGCCTCAGTCTGCCCCACCACAACCTCTGGCCGTTAAGTTGCCCCACCAGGCGCGCGGTTGCGAGCTTGTCGCCTTCCCCTCCCGGGACTCCCCTCGCTCTATCCGACTCCTTGTCTGTGTAGCCGGCGCCAGCCGCAGCTCAGCAACGCAATGCGACGGG